TAATGATGGGAATGTGTTTGATACCACTGAGCTGTACACTTAAATAGGTTAGGTACCAAATTTTAGTACATATTTTTTGTAGTTAAAAAAGAAGAAAAGTATGGGCATTTGAAGTCAGATAAATGTGGTTTTGCTACACTTGATCTTAGCCAAAAGGCTAGGAAGTGATTGATAAATATGGGTTTGAATCCTGATTCTGGTTACTTATTAGGTGCCTAACATTTGGCTGACTTCTTAAACACATGAATCCTCAGGATCTGACTCTATAAAATGGACATGATTAGGAATTTTTGGGGATAAAGAGATTATTCAAGTCAAATACACAGCCTTGTACTGGATGAGTCATTGTCAACAAAGTAATAATAATTAGTGTTTTTATAATAAGTGATTTCTAAAATAATTTTCATTATCTTTTAGTGTGTTGTTGTGTGATTTCATATGCAGTGAGCTCACATGAAACCTTTGGGTTGCAAAGGAAATTCCGAAACTCTTTGTAAAGATTCCTTCAGTTTGGGCCGGGGATTTAGCTCAGTGGTTATGCCACCTGTCTGGAAAGTGCAGGGACCCGAGTTCGATCCCTGATACCAAAAAAAAAAAAAAAAGAGAGATTCCTTCAGTTTGCTGCAGAGGCAGTGCTGGAGACCTTAATACCTTACCTGTTCCCCTTCCAGCCTCCTCTGCCCTCTGTGCCCAGGAGGCTGATGTGAATGGGCAAGGACTGCATCACCATTGCCCACCCCCTCTGGCTTCTGGATGGGTTCAGCAGCATACGTTTGTGTCACTAGCAGAAGATGGAATGACCCAGAATTGAGCCCAGAATGTTTATTTCCTTTGGCTTTTTCCCTGTTGGAATGCAAGGATGGTTCAACATATGCAAATCAATAGATGCAATATATCACATAAACAGAAGAACAAAAAATCAACTGACCTTCTCAGTAGACACAGAAAAAGCCTTTAACAAAATCCAACATCCATTCATGATAAAACCCTGAAGAAAATAGATATAGAAGGACCTCACCTCCCTTCCCTTTTGTAAAAAGATCTCCTTCTTTGTTTCTTATTATCTTTTATTTTGCTCTTTTTATACATTTGGAAGGTTAAGTAGAGAAGAGGCCATTACTTAGGAAACTATACTGGGCCAGAGCAAAAACAAATGAACAAACAAAAAACGAAACAGATATTTACACCGCAGTGAAACTGTGTTTCTGCAGTGACAGAAATTGGGCATCTGGGGTTTGAAAACATAGCATTTTAATTTTTCATATTATATAAAACTTTAATCACATATTTGCTTATTAATTCTGATCTGGGAGATGGTTTCGGTATGTGAAGCTGTATAAAACCAAATGTAATCTGGGATTAATGAAAATCAAATCCTCTATGCATTTGATCCAGAAAATCTGGTTAGATTTTTTTCTATTGGTTGGCCATCCTTTGCTGTAATTAACTAGAGATCATATCCATCTTGGTGTGGATATCAGGTTCTTTTCTTCCCAGGTTGCATAGGTTTTAGGATATATTATTCTCAGTGTAGAACAGGCATAAATACAAGATAGCTGTCTTGAGGCTTTATAGATGATCCGGTACAAATCTCCCTATTTTTCACATTGCATTTTATGGGATTTCATGAAAACATCATACTACTCACAATCCTCAATTAAGTGGAAAATTACAAAATTGTTGATTGAACGGTATCTATTAAAAGTCTTGACCAGTTTTGACTTTTGTTTAAAAGGCATGAAGGCCTGAGAGAAGTAGAGCAGCCATGATTTAAACCAGCTTTGTTGAGCCCCAGAAATGGGTGCCCGGGCTGTGTGCATTGCTGCTTGCTGCAGCAGGTCCAGGAGGTGCAAAACTGCGTGCTTTCAGCCTGGTGTGAGGCTTACACAGACTTTTAAAGATAAATTGTAAGGACTGAAGCATTGTATTGCAAGATAATTTAAGGTTTATGCAAGATAATAATAATGTGTTTTAGCAACTTCAGTTTTTTAAAGTGGACTCTGTATCTAGAGAACAAACTAGGTGTTTTTTAAATAGATTTTCTTGTTTAATATCATGGGTATATTCAAATTTTAATATATGGTAGGATACAAAATTTTTCTAATTTTTAAATCTTACATATTCTTCAAAATGTTAAATGTCACTCATGGAAAGGGGAATATTTGAAATGTAGATTTTATAGAATTAAATGTAAAATTGTGCATCCGGTGTGAGTTCTCAAAAATTTTTTCTTATTTGAAAAGAAAGAAGGCAGTTAAATCTATTTTGTCACACATCCACATATAAAAATTCTTTTTTGAGGAAGTTTTGATGTATCTAATTTTGTTGACTCTTTTTACTATGTGAAAGATATTTTTGATTATCTCATAAGTAGGTAATAAATGATTGGATTTATTTCCTCTACTAATTAAAACTGGTCATGAATTATTACACTCCAAGAAACAGCTGATCTGACTTCTATTCTTTATTGAAAAAAAGAAATAATTCGGTTCACTTATATCATTAGTTCTATAATTTCAAATAGTGTGTCTTTATAAATGCAAAATTTCTGAAATACTAAATAATTCCTCAGAAGTATAAACAACAGGAAATTAACCATTTTCTTTAATTTTATATTCTGTTATACAGCTTTAAATTTCTTGCTCTGTGCATATATTATTTTCATAGAAAAATATCAGTAAAAATTAAAGGTACTCTTCTCTTTCACTATATATTGTTCCCATACAGATTGTACTTAGAATCTGTTTTCCAGAATCAAAACTTTTTGTAGTACAAGGAAACAGACGGGGGACCCTTGCTGTGGAGTCTTAGTGCTTCTCTGTCCCTGTTGCCTCAGTGTCAGCTATCCTTTAGTTTGCTCCACTTTTACCCAACAGTCCTCCTGTCTCCTGACCCTTCCCTTCTGCCCTCTCGCTCTCTGTCCATTTTCATTCCCCTTGCATAATGTTGGCCAACACCATCCTGTTTTCCAGCTCCAGCTGTATGTCCTGCAGTTTCACTGGAGTCAGCTCAGACACCCCGCCCCAGTCCCCCAAACACACAAGCTCCAAGGGCTCGGTTCCACAAGAGGGCTCTGCTTCCCTGCTATACTGGGCCAGTCCTGGGAGCTGTGCCACCTACACTTCCGCCTGGCTGTTTACACTGATTGGGGTTCCACTGTCTCCCATCCTGAGGTCTGCAGTAGGCTGTGATGACTCACAAAACTCAGGAAAACACCTTGATGACTATTACTAAGTTTGGTCAAGGAGAGAGTTTTTGTCAGCATACATAGATCACATAAGATCTCAACATTCTATTTTTAAATGTTTATTATTGTTATTGACCAGAACATGTTTGTAGTACATAATGAGTACATTCATCTTGGGGAGTTGGTACATATACATAATACATCTTAATTCTTTTCTCATCCTCTTCCCTTCCCCTCCCTCCATCTCTCAGTCCTCTTCCCTTTGGCATAATGTTTCAGAACTTTATTAGAACCAAATCCTTAGATATTCTAGTGTTAAACACAAAGAACCTGAATCCTAGCAAGTGTGTTTTATAGAATTTCATAATTATTAGTAGATCCAGGACTCTTCAAATCTTCTTGTCTTTAAACTATAACAATTCCCTGTTGCTCATTGAAAATTACTGTTTTTAACAAATTTGGTAAGAAATTGGAGGCCACAATATGGTGGAGTGAAAATTCTCCTGTAGTATTATGAAGCCTATTGGCTTCTTTAGTGGTGAATGAATCTCTAAATCTGAAGCCTTTGCTTTAAACACATCCCCCTGTTACCATAAGATGCTATGAAAATCTTATTCTTTCTGGTACAACATAAAGATGGCGAGAGAGGCCACTGTGGTGAGGGCGGCAGACCGTCCTCAGAGTCCGACCAGCCTGGGATGTAAAGCCTCCTTTTGCCAGTTGTCACCGCACCTCTGTGATCCTCCTGCCTTGTCTGTTTTGAGGACTGAATTATGTCATGAGCGTGAGGTGCCTGGTCCAGGAAAAACACCTATTAAATTCTTAAATATTCCTAGCTCAATAAGCAAAGTGGGGAATACAATTTTCCCTTTGTACAACCTATGCCAGCTTTGACTCCTCCCTGTGCTGCTATTACAAGACACCTGGTCCACAGAACGGTAATAGGCCCACCTAGTACTCAACTGTGTGCTCTTATGCCACCATCATGAATGGAGTGAATGAAACAGCATGCCAGTATTTGTAGGCTCTGGAACTTGCACATAGTAAACTCTTGATAGTAGGTATTCATTGAATGAACAAATAGATTTAACCTAAGAGAAATTTGTGTTCTGGTGGTAGAGGTGCACATTCTTTCCACATTTAGGAATACTAGTTGAATGGCACATAAAGTGCTTTACGACTATCTGCTGCTCCACTGAAAGGGACAATTGCACAAGAAAAATGAGATTTAATGAGGTTGAGCTTTGAAAGATGAAGATGAAATCATCATTGTAACATTACAAGTGGAGCGAAGAGCATGAAGAAAAACATTAGCATGTAGTTGGTAATGTTACATGTGAGGAGGTAAGATTTGGTTGCGGAGGTGTCTGATGGAAGGTAAGGGCTTTTAATGCCATCTTAGAGTCAGTTCTTGATTGTATAAGCTTTAGAAAGCCAGGCAAGATTGATAAATAGGGATGTCAGTGCTTTGTAATGCTGACTGAGACTGCTTTCTGCCTTTTCTTTGTCATTTGATCAGCCTTTCTCTAAGATTCCCGAAGGCCCCAAAGAACTTTATTTTTATTTTTGTTTAATCCATTATTCCCTTCCATTAGCAGTTGAGATTTGACTTGATAATCCATGCTATATGCATTTTTTCCATTTATGAAGATTCATTGATAAAATAGGGAATGTGTCATTATTGGAAAAACTAATAGCAACTTAATAGTCCATATTTTTACATTTTATTTCATGCCACAACCAAGCTAACCAGAACTTCTAGCTTCTGCAGTTCTGGGTCATACACTTCATGGTTATCTTTTTGCCTCCACAGAAATAGAAAAGTTTCAAAAAGGAGAAGGCAAGGATGAAGAAAAGTACATTGATGTGGTGATTAATAAGAACATGAAGCTGGGACAGAAAGTGTTAATTCCTGTAAAACAGTTTCCTAAGGTAAGACAGTGAGGTCTCACTGCAGATGTGTTACCCTGAATCGCAAGGATGCAGATGTCTATTTGTATTCTGTTTGGTATTTCCTAGAGTTGTTTTCTCTTAGCACCCACTTCCTACAAACACATTTGAAGTTAATTAAAAATTTACTTAGTGACTTTAGTGATTCTGTCTTTTCTGTATGACTAGTGTGAATTACAGAGCCCCAAGAAAACACACTTGAGTCCTGTGAGTGAAGTGGGCAACCTGTCTTTTCACTTCAGTTTCTTCATTTCTGTCACGGAGTTGGATGGTTAAAAATTAAATGAGATCATCCATACTTGGTGCTTAGAACAATGCTTGGCACCCATATGTTCAAAATTGTCGTCTGTTCTAATTTTATTTAAATCTTTTCCTGTTTAGCCTTTTTTTGTCAAGTATCCATGTACATGATTCAAAAATACTGCTGTATATATATCAGCAGCTCATTTCTTTCTATTGCTGAATAATAATCCCTTACCTGAATGTAGCGTAGTTGATCCATTTGCTCGTGAAGTTTTCTCTTTTGGGTTATTGTAAATTAAATTGCTGTGAAATATTTTACACAAGTTATTTTGTGACTGTGTATTTCCATTTCTCTTGGGTAAAATACTTACATTGAAATAGATGTGTGTTTCGTTTTATGAGAAACTCCTCTGCTTTTTTTCTAAAGTGGTTGTACCTTTTAACATGTCCACAGATAAGGCATCCCAGATTGTAGTTGTCTTACGTCTTCATCAGTATCTGGTGCTGCCAGGTTTTCTTTTATATTTACTAGTCATTTTGATGCCTTCTTGTGATACTAATTGACATTTCCCTGATAATTTATAGTTTTGTGCAATTTTTCATATACCTGTCTTCAGTTTTGATGCTCAAGTCCTTAAACTGTTTCTAAGCCTTATCCAAGACCCAAGTCTTTTGGTAGATAGATGTTTTGCGGACATTTATTTGGCTTAGGTTATGGCTTGCCTATTGTTTTCTTCACAGAGTTTTGGGATAAATGGAAGTTTTACATTTTGATGGGGCATTGTTATCAGGACTTTTATTTAGGGTTAAAGTCCAAAACGTGTCTCCAATGCATTTTTTGTGTATGATGTGACTTACGAAATTTCTGTGGTTTGACTGTGTCCACCAAAAATGCATGCGTGGAAATTTAATCCCCAGATTTATATGTTCATGGTTTTTGGAGGCAGGCCTTTGAGAGATACATAAGATTCCTTGAGGTCCTTAGGGCAGGGCCCTCATAATGGCATTAGTGGCTTTATAAAAAGGGGAAGAAAGGCCTGAGCCTCGTGCTGGCCGTGACTCCATGTGGTACCCTCCTCATGTTATGATGCCGTCAGAAGTCCCTCCCCAAACTCCAGCCAAGGACTGCTGCCGTGCCCTTGGACTTCCCAGCCTCTAGAACTGTTAGCCAAAGAAACCTCTAATCTTCATGTATTACCCAGTCTGAAGTATCTTGTTCCGTTGACAGATAATGGACTAAAACAAAGGTCAAGCCCATTTTTCTCCATATGAGTGTCCACTCTTTCCAGGACTACTTGGTAAAAGGTATTTTTTTACTCCACAGATTGTTTTGGAACCTTTGATGGAAATCAGTGACCATAGGACTGTATTTCTGAGTTCCTTATTCTATTCCACTGATCTGTTTATGGGTCCTTATGCCAGTACCATACTGTCTTTTGTACTAGAGATTTTATAAATAGTGGGACAGATTAGGTATTATCAATCCAGTTTTGTGCCTGATCAGGATTGCTTATTCATGGAGGAGGATATCACATGGATCCTTTACAGTTCCATGTAAATTTAAGGATTAATTTGTTAATCTCCACAAGCTGACAAATTGAATTGAGTATGTTGAGCAATCTTGGGAGATTTGACATCCTACCAGTATTGAACACTATTGAGTCTCCCATTTCTTGAATATGGTTTATCTCTTTATTTTCTGTCAGCAGCATTGTATATTTTCAGGGCAGGTTCTTCTGTTCCTTTGGTTAAATTTATTCCCAAATAATTTACGCTTTCAACAGTATTTTATGTAACTTTTGTTAGTACTGTGTGTTTGCAGTACAGAAGGGTCGCATTCACCATGGGGGCTTGGCACAGTGCCTGGCACATCTTAATTCCTTCTTCTTTGTCCTCCTCCCCTCCTCTCCCTCAACCTTTCTTCCCCTCCCCATTTATAAAAGCTCTATTTCCATTTTTTCCTTCCAATCCCTTTTTCCTTACTTTCCTTTCCCCTCTCCCATCTGTTGTTCCCCTTTCCATTGGAAAACTTTCTTCCTGTTTCCTGGTATCTGCCCTCCATTTTGCCCCTGTTTACACTTTGGGTTTCTCACTGGAGAGAAACAATGTGATATTTAAACTTGTGTGTCTGATTTATTTCACTTAACATTATCATCTTAAGTTGCATCCATTTACCTAAGAATGCCTCAAGTTTATCCTTTTCTGTGTAGGTGTCCTATTCTATTGTATATGCTATAAATACTGTATGTTCTCTATGCATCTCTCGTTTTCAACAATATTGTAAAATTAATATTTTTAAGTATTTTCTTAGTCTGCTTCTAATATAAATTTTATAATATCCCCTGTATCTTGGTAAATTATTAGTTTTAGTTGTTTTATAAATTCTTTGTGATTTTTGTGCATATAATCATTATATCATCTGCTTAAAGAGCTTCACTTCTTACTTTCCAATTTTTATACCTTTTGTCTATTTCAGTGGCTAGTATCTCTATATAAGGCTGCATACAAATGGTGAGTGTAGGAACCTTCCTTCATTCCCAAGCAGGGAGGAAAGCTTGCAGTATTTTTACAGTTGAAAACTGTAGCTGTAAGCTTTTTGTAGATAACATGTGTTAGGTAAAATATTCCTTCTGTTTCAGCTTTGTTGAATTTTGATCCTGGATGGATGGTAACTTTTGTTGATTTTTTTTGTTTTGTATCCAATGAAATGAACATAGGGTGTTTCTTCCCTTTATTTTTTGTATAGTAAATTTTAACTTCACTTTTTGTAAATTAAAACTTTGTAGTCCTCAGTTAAACACTCTTTACTAAGGACATTGTATATTTCTGGATTCAGTTGCATCTATGATCCTAAGTGATACTGGCATATCATTTTTAATATATTTTTTAAGATTTTGCCGTTAATATGTTAGTTTCATAAAATGAGCCACAAAATGTTTCATTTTTCTCATACAATGTATGACAGATTGATATTTCTTTCTAAATATTTGTTAAAATTCACCAATGAAGCCATCTAGGCCTGGATTTGGATGATCAGTTCATTACCTTTGATTGATAAGGTACTTATCAGATTTTCTATTTCAATTTTGTAACAATTTTTGATGTGTTGTTTTAAGGGATTGGTCCACTGAAATGTGTTTCAGTTATTGTTTCTTTATATGTCTTCTCATCTTGTCTTTTTAAAAAATCTTTCAAAATTTTTACCTTTTATTGGTATACTTGAGATACACATAATAATAACATTCATCATGGGGAATTTGTACCTGTACATGATGTATCTTGCTTTTTTTTTTTTCCCCCATTTGACTTCATTTTCATGCATGTTGGACCTTTTGATATTCTCACTGATCTTCCTTTGGCTCTTGTTTACTTTTGTTGGTTTTTCTTTTCTCTGCTTTTTGGAATGGATAATTTCTACTGTTGTGTTTTGCACTTGTTTGATTTTTTGCTATGTTGTCTTCATTTTGCTATTAACCCTGTCAGGTAACGTTTTTATGTCAGGGGTTATAATTATCTGTTACAGAGTTTATGGTTAACATATGTGTCTGTGTTAACATTTTTTTCTTTTATTTTGAGTTTTTATCTTTTCATTTGAGTGTTTCATTTATGTCACTGAGTACAGTTAAAAACATGTGATAGTATTTTATTTTTCTTAAGAATCTTATTTTAGTTCTTTACATGTTGAGTAATTTGGGGGTGTATACTGGAGATTGTGAATAAATGTGGAAATTCTAGATTCTATGATATTTCTCTGAAGGATGTTGATATATTTGTTTCCCCAGTTAATCAACTTAGTTGGATCCAGACTGCTAACTTTATTTATTGAGTTGGCCTTCAGTTTTTTCCTCATTTTGACTTTTGCACTTAATTTTTGGTATATGTGATTCAGGAGTCAGCCAGAGATTTTAGTAGATTTTATAAACAAAATTTGCAGTCCACAGTTCTGACTCTCTTTTCTAGGATTTCTCCCTCATATTTCAGTACTCTGATTGTCTCAAACCCTGCTACTCGGGCTAAAAGTTCTAAAACTAGTTCAGCCCTGGCTCCTTACTTTAACATCTTCTTTCTGTTTCACAGACTGTGCCTTATTTGGTGACTCCAGGGTTTCAGTTAGTTGGCTGGTATATTTTAGAATTGAAGAGTTTATGGTTAACACCTGTAGGTAGTCAGCCTATTATAGTACCTGTATGGCGTGTACTTCTTTATAAACAGAAAATAGTCAGGAACTTTTCATATACAAACAAAGCATAGCTCATGGAAACCTTTACTCATTGATTCTTTGTGCTCAATAGATAGGTCTTACATGCTCAGTATACAATATAAAGATGACCAGAGAGTTCTTGTCTATCAGCAGTTTATAGTCTAGTAGATGATGATTAACCCAAAGTTGATACCTTGTTGTGCACAAACTAGTACAGGAAATAGAAAATATGAATAACATGTATGAAGTAAATGCAAAATATGAAGTAACATATATGAAAGAAAATCTCACATATTTGATGAGGTAAGGAAAGACAAATTATAATTCCTGCATCTAATAGCTCGGAGCCCATTTTAAGTGCCTGATAATGTCTGAGGTTGGTTGCTTAGGGGTCCACTGCTTTAAGAACCATCAAAAGGGAATATGGACATGCAGTGAACACGGGCATGCAAGGTTCAGGCAAGGTTGTGTGAACATGGATGCAGCACTGCAGCCAGTTCTTGGAGAGAGAACTTCACACTGTGTCAGTGAGCTGGCT